ACTATGTCAAGGTCCAGTGACTTTGAATTAATTAGCAATTTTCAATGTTAAGCTTTCTGCTTAAGTTAGTTTGAAAGCATCTTCTTTTGATAGATCATTGATATTTAATAGAAAGTTGCATTACTATAAGTACATATCAGTTTGACAACTATTTTGAGGTCCTGCCCCCTAAGTCGTGGTCCAGTGACTTTGAACTAATAAGCAATTTTCAATGATAAGTTTTCTGCTCAAGTTAGTTTGATAGGAACTTCGTGTGATAAATCAAGGATATTTTGTATAAAGTCGCATTACTATCAATACATATCAGTCTGACGACTATTTTGAGGCCCTGGCCCCTAGGACACGGCCCAGTGACTTTGAATAGATAAGCAATTTTCAATGTTAAGTTTTCTGCTCAAGTCAGTTTGATAAGAACTACTTGTGACAGGTCAGTGATATTTTGTATAAAGTTGCATTACTATCAGTACATCTCGGTTGTCAACCATTTCTAGGCCCTGTCCACAAAATCATGGTCCAGCGACTTTGAATTAATAAGCAATGCTACTGTCCATCACTTTTACCTTCTAGAGTTATGCTCCTTTACAAATGGAAAATTGCTGAATTTTTCTTTTCCATTCTCTAATTTTAGTTTGCCTCAACCCAATGTTATGAAACTTATACACAATGCTTATTACCACAAAACACAGATGAAGTTACTTATAGTGGCTAACTTCTACGTTATTTGGTCTTTAAGTTATCTCATTGGCATTCATACCACATCTTCTATTTTTATATGTTTTGTGATGTTAATTTTTCAAAAAACTTCTACAAACTTCAGTTAATACTTATTTTGATATGAATGTCTCATAGACACAACCAGTTGGAGTAAGACTGAAACAGCCGTGCAAGGGCACATTCTTGTTTGGAAATCTTTTTCATGCTTTTGTCAATTATAAGAAAAAAGCTGTATCTCACTTAAAATAGAATAACTTGAGGGTGAATATGCAAAGTAACTATAATCATTATGAAAAAAGAAAGTGGTTGCACAATAGGTGTTACTAAATTGCAAAATATATTACAAACTTGCATATTTCTCTAAATTAATGGAACAGTTATTGTCACGTTTCTTTATTGTATTTATTCCTCACTTGTATCTCCTCAGGTTGTAATAACAAAATTTATTTCAATTCAAAAATTTTCAATGGTTAAAAATTTTGCTATTATAAAATATTGAATAAAAAAATACAATTTTTTTTGTGCATGTTTCAGAAAACACAAAAGTTTTAAAAAGTTATGAAATCAATTTTTCTACTTTACATGATGTTTTTATTTAGTTTGATCAAAGACGTGTTTAAAGTAAGTGAATTATTTATATTGAGGTAATAGTACTGCATCAATGGGCTAATGGATTTTAGCTTTGAAATGTGTTTAAATCATCACATAATAAAAATCAAAATGAAATTCATCTGACGTAGTTTATTATCATATTCCTTAAAAGGAAGAAGAAAAAAAATATGTATTCATATCGTAAGAGCCATTAGCCATGCTTGACATACTTAAATTATCTTTGTCTAGGAAAAGGTGTGTCAGGATGAAACCTGCTACACCTACTTAAAATCTATCACTTATGTAGGTAAACCGAAATTGTTTGCCAAGTCATCCCGATTTAATTGTGTATTTGTATACACATCAGGTTGTTTGAAATAATTTCAGTGAATTGGTCTATTGTTAGCCAGTGTTTTGTGTTGGGATATATGTTTTTGTGGACTTTTAAAGTGATTGACATAGCGAGAACTAGGGGGTCTGATTTTGAGCTGTTAACTGTATTTAAACACCTAAGTTCAAATTGCTATCAGTATTAATGTCACCTCCTGGGTTGAATCAGGGATAGGTAACCACGTCCACAATTTCCAAAATAAAAACTTTTATTCAGCCTCACAACTTTAAAGAAGAAAGGTAGAGATAAGACATAAGAAGGAATTGTGTGATTGTTTTTATACCGCAATTGATTTTTATTTGTCAAATTTATAAATAACTTTTATTGGATCTATACTTATTTTTACAACTTTATAAATAACTTTGAAATTGGATTGGACGATAAAAAAAGAGGAAATCACAAAAAGAGAGGAGTTTCCTAAAAAGGAAGTTATTAAAGGATAATCTTGACAGTTGTGACTTTTGTTAACGGTTTTTTACCTTGTGATTTTTTTGGGTGAATTTTTAAACAGACAAAAATGCATTTAACATATTCTGAGGAGTTGTATCTTCATCATCTTTACGGAAACTCTCATCATATGTCATATATAGGCTGTCCTTATGTCTGGGTGAGTAGTTAATTAATTAGATTATTAATTAGGGGATTATGATTATTAATTAATTAAGATAATTAATGATATTGATGTCTAAAGGTAGGAATGTGTTAGTTGATATTGAAAGTGAATTTGTGGTTGACCAAAGAATAAATAGTTTACACAAATTATTTGATTTATATTTATGTGTTAAGTTTTCTTTGTTATGGATATAAAAACTAGTATAAGTTGTTGCCTGCAGTTTTTGTATTAAGATAACAATATGTTGAAAAAAATTGTGATTAGTAAGATAACAATATGTTGAAAAAAAAGTCTTGAATTATCAGGATTTGCTTTTATCTGAATTGTCAAAAAGTGTTTGTTATATGATATCCATGCATATTACAAATGTTAGGTTATAAAAAGTATCTGTTCCATGATTGACACTTATAACAATGATTTGGACATCTGTAATAATGACAGTAATGAGTTGTCTTTTTCTGGAACTAACTCTTCACCATGCCTTTCATTATTATCCTTTTCCATACAGAACAAATTGGGGAGGGGGGGGGGCAAGTTTAAACAACACTAGTTTAACCCCATCCCCACCTAAACATGTTATTGACCCTAGACGGAAGTCTAAAAATTATTCAGAGGTTGATTTTGTTTTGTACCAGTCAATGATATTGGTGTAATTAACAGATCTTTTATAGAGTCTGTTATATGTATGTACAACTTGGTGTTTCATGGGACTTTTAGTGGCCTGGGCTATAACATGGCAGTCCGTTCTTAGTGGTGAAGGGAGCCAGAGGTAGCCAGAGAGAACCGTTAACCTCAAGCAGAAAAACTGTCATTCCTTGTCAATTATGATCAGAGTTGAGCAGGCCTGGTAACAATCAGGGATCCAACTCACAATCTCAGTGTGACAAAGACTGACTTTTAGAAATACTAGTTTCAATAACTATAAAAAAAATCGATCATCAAAATACTTTGAGGAGGTGATATAAGAAAAGTGAATAAGGTCAATAGGGGGTGGGTAGGGTGGGGTGTGGTTTGAATGTTACTTTCTTAAAGGACCCATCATGATAAGAGTTTTTAATAACTTTTCTGTTTGATATTTCATTTGTTATTGTATTATGATTATTGTCTGATTATTACTGATAGCATTGCAATCAAAAGAGTATTATTTATCCTTGTTACAAGTAGAATCAAAGTTACCAGATAAACACTCTTAATCGATACAACGAAAATGATGAAACATAAGGAAATTGACGATGTCACTCCCATTTGTTTGATATTTTATTTATAAACAATAAGTTGGAGTATATATCTGTATACCAATAAAAATGAACATGGTTAATCCATTGTAGGAAGTTAAGTGGGCTAGATTTCCTGATTGGTGTAAGATAACCTATATTGAAATATAAAATCAATACTTAAAAAACTAATACTGATAAGGCAGAAAAATACAACAATTTGTCAACAATTAAAATCGATAAATTGTTAAAATTACACTTTTGGGACTATAAACTTTAAATTTGCTGACTAATAGAGTGAAATTCTGTCAAATTCAACCTTGGGATATTGATTTGAAATGAAAGCAGGTGTTAAGACTAGGCAGGTTTCATAGGCTTAAAGAAGATGAAATTTTGTCTGGATATTGGCAAAAAGATTTGAGGTTAATCAGGTCGATAGAGTGTATATGAGACAACTTGTATCATTTTGTGTTTAGTACATCCTTCCCACAAAATAATCCATTTCAACTTTAAACCAATTGAAGAAGATTTCTGAATAATTTTATTTGAAAAAAGAAAATTATAATGATGAAAAAACGATGCTTATTTTAGACATAAAAAAAGGTGTGTTTTTTAATTGTAGGTTGAAAAATTTATGAAAGATTTTTTTTGAAAGATTTGAAGGGGACAGAAATAAATTAAAGCAAAAATGATGTATTGAAACATACAGAATTGATAGTTGACTATAAGAAAGTTTGTTTTAGGTGTAATTTAATTACAATTTGTGTCAATGTAGAATTGATGACCTGACTAGTCATTCAAAATCATACATATATATTTCATCTCTTCCTACCACACCTTATAGAAGGATTGAATTTAGAATACTGATGGTTTGTTTGGACTGACTGGTGGATGATTTAATATGCTAATCACCTTTATAATATTCATCATTTATATATGAGCTTTATGAAGACTTATCCAAAAGCAGTTACTGCTATACTAGAACAGTCAATGTTTATTTTGGCTTAAATTTGCATCTGTGGATAACAATTGGATTTTTTATGGGGGTGGGGATGGGTGGGGATTGGGTGGGGGGCAGGGGTTATGGTAGGGGTTGGGAGGATATGAGAAATGAATATGCTGGCCTGGTAAGAACTGAAAATAACATCCTTGAAAAAATCATCCTGACTTCTCACATAAAATCAAATGGCTTCCCTTTTTGAAAGTGTGTCTTTAAATGACAGAATTTTCTAAAGAAAGATCAGAGGCTCAATATCATCTTTGCCTTTACAAAGTATGTGAGCTACAAAAAGATGATTTGTTTCTGATGAAATAAATATATGTCAGACAGTGTAAAAAACAATGACTGCAGCTTCGTGACAATACTACTAAAATTACTAATGTCTTAAGACTGCAAGTTTTTTTTTCTTTCTTTCAAGACAGAATCAGCTAGACATTATTATTACTTTAGTAGTAAATGGATATTTTTAATTTTCAGCCTGTTCAAACAGAGCCAGTAGACTTGTCTGTGAATAAGAAAACATATGACGCTATGATCTCAGGAACACCACCACTTCACGAGTTAGGAGGAACATCAGGTATGTAATTCTTTGCAGAAATATCTTACTGGTTGGTGAAGAGAGTACAAGTATACTGCATTTAAAACCTACATTTCATTCAACAGGTACGGTTTAGAGGGTTGAATAATTGATTGATTGATTGATTGATTAGTGTTTAACGCCACTTTCAACACTATTGTGCTATTTCGTGGCGGTCAGGATTTATTGGTGGATGAAGCCGGAGTGCCAGGAGAGAACCACGACCTTCGGTAGGAAAACTGACAATCCTAGTCAATTAAGATTGGAGTCGAGTGCACCTGCCACGTGTGGGATTCGAACTCACAACCTCATGCAGTGTTGACTGGCTAGTGATACAGTAGTTCAACTACCGTACTTAGACCACTCAGCCACCAAGGCCCCCGAGGGTTGAATAAAGGTAAAGGTTTAGTTTTGGCCAAATTGAGGGTTATAATGGCTGGGTTAGTTGTAGCAATATTACAGGCCTATATGTTCAGCATCCCTTGAAGAATGTTAAGTTTGGTAAGGGTATAAATTGTATGATAGATAAGCAAATGTATATCAGAAGCAAAACTGAGACTCGTAATGAGTTGCAAAATGTAGAAGTAAACTTTTTCTTTCATGTTATGTTTAACATTTAAAATTTTGAAATAGATTTAACAAAGAGAGACTTCTCTATATAAAATACAACATAGTTCTAAAACCAATATTATCTTGACCCATTTCTTTCCTCTTTTATTAAAAAAAAATAACAAAAGAGTCTGTACTTATAGATTTTGAATTCAAGATAGTGTCCTCCTTACGACCTTCGATAGTGACAAGCACAATTTCACGATTATTTGTTTGTCAATGTTATTGTGGTTTGTTTTGAAGTCATAAGTTGTTATCCATTCATCCATGTGTGATGTTTTGTTGTAATAGTAATGTTGGGTTAAAAATCCATACACCAGTGGATAATTAAATTAGTGATTTAACTAATTGATGTTGACAATTAGGAGTTGTAAATTACCTTGTAAATTCATTATGGTACCAGGTCATTATTTGATCCTGACGGAAACTATAAAGGTATTTTTGGCGTTTGTTTGTTTTTGATAAAAGTACAACCATTGTAAAAGGGAAATGAATCCAACAAGAAGCTTTTAAAAACTGGAGAAGATAAGGTGGTTGGTACATTTATGTAAATCAGAAATGTCCTTCGAAATGCAAGCTAAACAACACAACAAAACTTAATGTCTAAAGCAGTCAAGTAATCTTAAGGTGTGTAGGCCATCATTGTCGGAGATGGCCTTTTACCTGCCTTCTTTTTTGACATTTTAAAGATAAAAGATGAGTTTCAAACTCCAATTTTGTGAATGAACTCTACCAGTTGACCAGGGGTTATTCAGGGAAAATGTGTCAAAGGACATTGAGACATGAAGATGTTTGCTTTGTGACATCAAATTTTTGCAGGAAAAGCACCGATTGGAAGATCATGTATTGTAAATTCACATACATTTTTACATAAATATGTACATAGATTAATAAACTTAGACAAAATACAGACTTGCACTTTTGTAAATATCTTATCTTGGCAACAAAATATTCACAATTATAAAAAAATCATGTTTAAAAAGGTAAAAAAAAAGGATGAATGAAATAAAAAAATAATGGTGTTACATAATTTTGAAAATATGGAGGTTAATGTATGTCTTATCTTGCCAGGAAGGAAAGTTTGAAAATAAATTTCACACATGCAAAGATGTGTGCCTGGTTTATCATTAATGACTTATCTTTACATATAGGAAGTTAGGTGTGGAAATGAGGTGTGGTGGTGTGAGAGATAATATCATAAATCGTAAAAAAATGACAAGTTATGATCTATATTTACACATGCACCTGCTTGTAGGTAATCAGCCTTGTCATGATCATGTATGTTCTTGCGTTAATTAATAATTGAAGAATTACTTATTGGGATTACATATTACCAGTATTTACTGAATATTACAGTATCTTTCGTTCATTTCTCTGGTAAAGATGAAGAATGAATTTTCAATAGGTTTGTAAGCTAGTAGACTTTGTCAAAACTATAAGTTTGATTGTCCTTGATACAATTTTTCCTTAATTCGTGAAAATTGATTTCCATGAAAATAAAATGAACATAAGTACTTTTGTATGAGGACAAAGCCTCAATTACTCTAAGGAAATCAACATACAGTATATCAATATAAAAATCAACAAACTAGTGAATCCAAAATCGTTAACTTTTATTTTAGAACATTTGCTTGTTTAACATCAAGATGGAGGCTGTCATGTTGAAAAGCATAAGATTTCCCACAAATTTGTATATCTGATTACCAAAAAGTATCATGAAAATACTAAGGACTTTTAAGGCCTCTTTCACAGGTATCACCTGCCTCATATTAGTTACTTTGGTCTTCTGCTTGTACTAAAAGGGTATTGACTGAATAATTTATAATTAGCAAAAGTCACTAATTTTTATGAACAACTATAATGTAAAATTCAAATTAAAAGATAACATAAAATTCCAGGTATGAAAGAACAAAAACAAGTTTGTTTCTTGTTGACAATTTTTTGTCATAAAAATGAGATTTTATGCTTTGTTTAATGTGAATCTTCCTTGATACACACCCATTATGAACACACCCATCACTTAAATGTTTTGATATAAATCTTGATCTGTCAGGTGTTTCTTATGATCATATTAATGATATACTTGTCATATAGAATCGTAGGAATCTAGATATAGTAGACAGTTATCTTCTTTTTGAAATACTAACTCGCTTAACATGTAAACATGCAGCATTTAATCATTAAAAGATACCAGGTTTATGGCATCTGACATATTTTTATGATATAAAATTTCCAAAACTTAATATTAAATTGTCAAAATGTGAAGGTTTTATGAAATTATGTCGGGTCTGAGTCATTTCATCAGGTCAAATTCAGGGTATCTATCTTCACTAGTTAAATCCTTAAGTTTTTTGCTGATCAGAATAAAAGCTTTCTTTTAAGTCTTTATAGATTGGAATAAATTAAATTGAAATATTACATGCATATTTAAGAGGCCAACAAGAGTGGATGGCCTGTACGGAGAATTTTCACTGCAAGTTGACAACAAGAATGTATTTTGCAAATCTATTCCCTCACAACTTGCTATTTATCTACTTATCAAAGAAACTCGATGCAAGGGTTCTTCAAAGTGCAGGAAAATTGATACTGTCCGGTCTTTAAATTTTGCAAAAGTTGATGTTTTTCTTTGATGTAGGTATTTTTGTATGTAATCAGTTATTTCTGTTTATTTCAGATTTAGATGAACCTCCAACAGTTACATTAGAAACAGTAAATAAAATAGGGTCTGCTGCATTGTTATCTCTACAGAGGATAAAAGCAGCTTCAGAGTAAGTAAAAAGGAATTTTAAATGATCAAGGAAAGATAACTCTTATATTGTTAAAGGTTATTTTCTATGTTTATTTTTATGATATGCATTTTAACATGCATTATTAAATGCTTTTCTTTATGAATTTGCTCAACTTCCACAGAATCATTTAACTTTTTCAAGTACACATAAGATCTAAACTACAGAAATGGTTTAATTTATATCATTAGAATAAGTCAGTTAGCTGAGCTTACTTGAAGTGAAAATTATGTTTGTTATTTTTTTGTTTTTCAGTAAATTTAAGTCGTTAGATACATGTAACAACAACTCAGCACCATCACCTCAGCCAATCACAATGCCCTATACACTATCCCCTGTGCCAAATTGTGACCCCTTTATTGATAGAGAAAAGAAGAGGCGTGTTCATCGATGTGATTTTGATGGCTGTAATAAAGTATATACAAAAAGTTCCCACCTAAAAGCTCATAGAAGAACACATACAGGTATGTCATTACATTTGATTCACATCATTTCCATTACCAGAAGAACTTTTTTATGCCCCCTCCGCTACATTAAGTTTTACCCTTGTCCGTCTGTACGTCCGTATCTCCCGAATTTGGTTTCCGTTCTCTAAATTTAGTTTGCCTCTACCAAATGTTATGAAACTTATACACAATGCTTATTACCACAAAACACTGATAAAGTTTGAATTTGGGTGGTGTCACTTTTACCTTTCATTTTATTAAACACTGATTTTTTCGCACTATACACATTTAATGGGCAAGCTGAATCCCTGTATCCTTGAAAAAACCAATTTTTATGGTATGGTTTATTTATGTAAAACTTTCATTGGTGAATAAAGAAAAGAAAAAATAAAGGCTTGATGTACACGAGACAAAAATGTCATTAAAATACAAGGAAATAACCTGATTAAAAGAAAAGCAATTTTGTTTCTGCGCTTCATATTGATAATGGTACAGAGGGTTGCTCAGACATTGTAGCAAGGTCAAGATGGTCCCCAAGTGAACACTCAAGTGTTAGTCAGCAACAACTTTCTTAATTTATTTCATGACTCTTATCTCTGGTTGAAAAATACTTAAAGCACTAGTGCTGAGTCAGCACTCCTGACAAATCATATTTATTGTTTAATGTGTAAAGGCATGGATCTTTAAATGAATGGAGATTTTAAACCACTATATCGTATTATATCAGGGTAGTAATTTTAGTCACATAAATTTGTTGGTGCTTGAACATTGATACTGTAATTGTAAAATTAAGAAATAAAAATTCCTTCTTATGACCCCATAAAACTTTTCTACAAAACACTGTCATACAGTGCCCGTCAGTGGAGGTATAAAATTTTACTCTCTTTATCATTTTAATTTTGTGTTTTATGTACCAGGCTGTGTATTTTAAAAACGAAAATTTCGACCCTGTAATTACTTACTTCAGTATTCACTTTATGAATTAAAGGGATATAAAGCTAAAAGGTATATAGATGTCTTTTTCCTGAAATGTGATCCACAATTACTCATCAAATTCTCCTCAATGTATTGTTATAAAAAGGAAGATATTTGCCACTGAAAACAATTCTTTTTTTTAAATAAGAGATCTTTTGTATTTGAAAGCTTGATCCATGATCTTTTCTTTGACTCATGGAGATGTTTGATAGAAGAAGAATAAATGAAGAAATGTCTGAAAAGTTTTTTAACTATAAAAATTATATGATTTTAGTAAATGAAATTTTAAATAAGACATCTGTTTTTTTTATTCCTCTTTGAAAGCTTCTAGTACAATTTTAAAAATAATTGGATGTCTAAAATGCCTGGATTGTAAATAATTTTTTTCCCATTGTTATACTGCATTTTTAGGTAAAAAAAAAATTCCTGCATTAATGAAATACTTTTGGATTCATTCTTAAAGAGTTATTCAATTTATATACATATATTTTCAAAGTGTCTATTAAGGAAATTATTGTATTTAGTACCATTGTTTAATAATAGGGACTCTTAAATCATTGCAAACTAGATTTAAATATCCTGTTTCTGAAATTAATCTACTTTCCTAGTAAATTGATACCTCCCCCAGGTAGAAAATTCCAATTTATATATTTAAATGTCATTTAAATAAACATTTAGTAATTGGGTGCCTGTTATATATTTTCTGTATTGTCACACCCATATGTAAAATTTTAGTTATCTGTCTATCAGGTAGACCTCTGTACTGTTTACTTACAAAATTAAAAAAACATATTTTTTTGGCATTCAAGAATTTGGAAAATTTCCCTCCTACTAGCAATGAAAAATAAACTAATTAATATATTATTCAAAATGTATGAACCTTTTTTTAAGAGAAGAATTATTTAAGATCCAGGTAAAAACATTATCTTTAGAAGCTGTGTGTTAAATTTAAATTAGTGTTATTGATAGATTTTAAGGACATAAGCATGAAACAATGCTTTTGTTTTTAAATATTATGCGGTAGTTTCAAATAAAGGAATTTTTATTAAATTTTTTTAGTTTTTTTTTATCTTTATAGGTGAAAAACCTTATGTATGTAATTGGGAAGGGTGTACTTGGAGATTTGCAAGATCTGACGAATTAACACGGCATTACAGAAAACACACAGGAGACAAACCATTTAAATGTAACGTGTGTGAACGGGCATTCTCACGCTCAGACCATCTGTCACTACACATGAAGAGACATTGAGGTAACTATGTACATCAATATGTGAAATTTGAACCATCTGTATGCTGTTTTGCAACTAGTAACAAATGATTACATTCCTAAGGGTACATTTTTGAGAAAATATATAAAAAGAGATATGGGATATGCATCAATAGGACAGCAAACCAACACACAAAAAACCAAAACGACATCTAAAGGTCAAAATACAAAATGTCTATACAATGTAAAGCTCTGATTTATGCCTATTCTAGAAATGCCTGGAATTGATTTAAGAGAATATGCAAGATCTGCCAGCAAGACAAAATTAACTAAAGATATAACTTAATACAACCACTGCTGAGGAACCTATCATGGGACATACACATGAAGATGAGGTGGAGTTTAACTAGTTTTTCATATCTTTCTTATGACTGCAAAACTATGACAAAAGATTTCAGGGTAATGCATGAGTTCGATTCATTATGTGTCCAGATATGTTACACATATTGTGCACTTTTAATGTCATAGACAAAAATTGTCTGTTCACATCACCTCCGTACACTGATAAAACTGAGAGACCACCACTCCTTGGGATGACTTAGTACAAACAGATAAAAATGTTAACTGGTGTATTCCCTCTCAGGATTACAAACGACAAAAAAGTGTCATATCAAACAATAGTACCATTTTCACTCTACCACCTTGACAAGGGTGACAGTGCAATTTGCATTTAAAAAAAAAGAAAAAAAAAAGATAATTTATGAATGATAATTGTGATACAAAGAGTACATAGTATTAGGTTTGCATGTAACCGGCACATACTGTTATTTTTGTTTAGGTACTTTGTACTGTAAATCGGTAAACTCATTGTTACTCAGCTACTTGATACTGTTGTGATACAATTTTGTTTCGCTTCAGTGATTTTATTTGAAATTGGGGAATTAAAATTATTTGTTTGGATGAAGTCACTTCCCCATTGTATTGAAAAGAGAACATGTTTACATTAAATTTCCAAGATTTTGACAGGAAAAACATAATCCATTCAAATTTTTTCTTTCCCTGTGGGCAAAATGGTGGGTGCAGATTGTTGTTAATATCCGTCATTGAATATGGGTCCACAGATAATCTTATCAACTGTACTTTTATTAAGAATTCAAATTTAGTTATTAACTTTCATGTTTGTCATCAATTGTTCTAAATTCATGTTATTTTTTTCTTTTCAGATCTAGGCAATGGTTAATTTGATTTGTTCTTGTCAAACAAGGACACTTATTTTTTCCTGTTAGCTGTTTGAGGTTGACAATACTTCACTAAAGCTACAGATTTTTCCTGTTGGCCATATGTGTTGACATTACTTCACTGAAGCTGCAGACGACAAAATGTGCAATGTTCCAGGCCCTGATTATGTATTGATACATAGACCCAACAATTTATATTTGTATCATTAAAACAAACCTATTTACCCAGATGTCAGGGCTTACTGTTATTGGTGCATTACCATTTTATGTTCATCAGAGACACGATTTACACACTTTCAGGTACTAATGATTATACAAGTAACTGAAGTCGTGTGGACAGAATTTGTTGTCACATGTTGATCATGTGACTCATATTGTTAGAGCAGGTTTCTATAACAGAATATCAATTTATTTTGTAAAACCATATAAAACATTGGATTGGTAATTCATATTGTTTGATATTTAGTCTTTATACACTAATCTTGTTTAATGAAATTTTAATTATTTCTTTCAAATTGTGATGAAGTTAGTTATTTTACAATATGTTCAGTTTTCTAATAGTTTTAAACTTGAATAGAAAATCAATTTTTGAAAAATGAAAGCTGTGTTAAGAAAGAAAGACCACAGCATCAAGTTCACATTATTTTCATATGCTTTTTTACCTAAATTCCAGCTATTTCACAATTAACATTACAATTATTACAATTTCTTTGGAATGCAGGTTACAGTATTGCTATGCTTATATCTGACTTCAAAGATGCCAGCTTACTTGCTTTTGCTAAACTGTGGTATTTTTCAGATCTCCACGATAATTGAAGATTGATGCAATGACATTTTTTAGATAGCACAGTTACTTTTTGTTTCATGTGTTTTTTTATTCTGAAGTATGTCTTCCTAGTGAAAATATTCACAAAATTAGTTTGGCTTCAATTTAGAATATTTTATACACAAATTCATATTTTTGAGAATATGTTACAATAATATTACAGATTTCACAAAGGATACATAAGTGGAAGATTTCACAAAAAATTTTGCTTTATTGTTGAATTGTTTTGTTATGCTTTATTTTTACACATAAGCAATAAGTTTAACCGGTACATATATATGTATATGTGTATTATTCACTGCTGAATACTTGATACACAACACAAAGAATTTTTTAAACAAGATTTTGAAAGTTATTGCATATTTGTTATATTGTTATTGATGAGTAGTTTGTTGTAAGTTGTTAAGAAAATGATTGTTATTGAAAAAATTGTATTGATATAGAATTTTTTTTGTGTTTCCATGACATTTGTAAATAAGATTTGTGCTTATCATAAATCTGACTGCCAGTTTCATGTTGTGAGAGTTTATGAAGAGTTTAGTGTCTGTATTTGATAGTTATTTACATCATTAGAATTTAGGCCCAATCAATAGAACTTTAGATTTTTGGATTTTCTTGTAAAAAAGAATGTTTGGTGTTGACTGATATTTGTATTCCAGAAGAAGTAAGAGCCGTTCCCTCCTATAATTTAGTAACAATTTAGCCTTTTTTCAATGCATTGATTATAAAGTTCTTATAATCCTTTAATATCACATTTTTTAGACCAATTACATTTAAAATGGACCCAGTGAGAACTTAAATAATAACTCTTTTGTAGCCATATGGGAAAAATACAAGAAATAGATATAAGTTTTGAGCAATATAATACCTTATTAATTGTGTGAAAGGAAATTCTTATAATCAACGGAAATATTTGAAACATTTATGGTAAAGCAGTTTTTGCTTTAGTCTTACAAATGAATCACACTGTAAAGATTTTTTAATTGAAAGTCCTGTCAGAAGGGAATTTGAGAAAGCAAGATTTTTTTTACACAAGAAAATCTATTTTGAAATGATTGGGATTTTTCAGAAACAATTGTATAACAGGGATTTAAGATGTGTCAAATTAAAAATTGTTTAATTGCAAAGGTCAGTTTTAAAATATGAATAAAACTCAGGATTGTTAGTTATGGTGGGATAAAATAAAGAGTTTGCTCCCCTGCTTGTAATAATTTCAGGAACAGTCGTAATTAGAAACTTTACCTAATCCTATTACTTAGAAAGTTATTTAAAAATTAAAATAAATTGAAAATTGTTTCGAACAAAGATTTTGATATTATTTCTGTTGAAATATTTAAAAAAAAATTAAATTTAAACTATAACAAAATAATACTAATAGTTAAATTTTTTCAAACTGCTGAATATAAGCAATACATGTTTTTCAGGAATGCTGCATTATTTATTGAACAATAGTATTTGATCTATTTGAAAGTACTGATTTGTTTGTTATGATTATGTAATTTAAATTTGATACCAAAAATATGTGGAAAAAACACTTAAAAGGGGGATTGCAGAAGGGTCGAAAAGGGGAAGGGGTTGTCACATGGGAGCATTTTAAAATTTGACTTTAGTTTTCTGAATTATATGTCTTGGTTTATAACTTTCTTGCCATTTTGCATATTTGTGATCTTGAAAAACAGAATTAAAGTGATTAAATGTTTGTTATGTTTTTAAAGAACTGAAGTGTAAAAATACAATGAAAAATGTACTAATTTTTTTACAATTAGTGATAGATTAGCAGATTGTAATATTTATTTTATACAACTGAGTTAATATTGGAAATTTTCTTCAAAGTAAGATAAAATAAAACCTCAGAAAACTTTTTTTTTCGGAGTAGTGGAGATTTTAATCCAATTTTAATTGGCATTTGAAGTTCCGGTAATAAAATGGTTTCATGTTTTGAGAACTCAATCAATATTTAATTTTAGAACATTTTCTTGTTTAGACTGGATGCAAATTTATCCGTTTTCACCTATAAAAATTAAAGATATGTTTTTTTTTTTATTTTGTCAAGAAAAAAATATTTTTTACGGTCTGTTTAGTGAAATGGAGAACTACCAGTAACAATAAACTGAGTATTTTAGTGCATGAATACAGTATTACAAATGAAAAAGTAAGCTAAATAGCTGTTGAGATGTTAAATAATGATTATCTTAAACAGGTTTACAATTTATAACTAGTGCTTTGTAAAAGCGATAAGATATACTATTTCTTGCTTGGTAAACTTTTGTAACTAACCAAGCTCAGATCAGTTTGAATTTAGTAACTATGAGACTGGAACATAATCATGCTTTCTTGTGGCATTTTATTTGATTACTTGCCAAGAGAATATGGACTGTTTTCTTCCGATTTATAAATTTACTGATTGTGACATTTTGTCGAAGTGTGGATTTGAATTGGGGGCAAAGCATGCATAGCAGGAGATGCCAACCCTGTTGACGCATCTGGTTTCCCGTCTATTAGAGTTCATGGGATTCCCTCTGTTTTTGTCTTGTAACTTGATTTATATCATCGAAATGGTTTTATAGGACTTGAACATGGGTAAACTACTGTTACCTCTTATTTATAGTCGGCAGTTGTTAACATACAACAGGACATTAACTGACCCTTTAAGATGAACGATGTAAAATATGCATACCCTGTTGTTGTTGTTCAAAAAAAGTTTAATACTGTCAATTCATTATTATTCGTGGAATACCAATTTGCGTAGATTTTGTGGATAAAGTTGAACCACAAATTTAAATGTTCAAAGAATTACAAATTTTCCATAGACTTGTGTGCAGACTTTGGCAAACCATGAAATCGAACATACAATATTTCCTCAATCCACGAAAACTGGTATCCATGAAAAATAAATTAATCCACAGTAATTATAGTTATAGGCCAGTATATTTCAACAGTTAAGAACTTTTTTATTCCCAAATCATCTTTAGCAAAGTTTACTACTGTTAATTTGAGTTGTATTGGATATTATGGAATGGAATCAAGTTAAGGTTTTTGTTAAATATCAAATAGGAGAAAACCCCATTTAACATACATGTCAGATAAATGCAGTACATATTTCAGATTAACACACTACACATGTCAGATTAACATAGTACATATTCTCTTGGTGTTTATAGTGTGCCAATGATGATGTGAGAATGATTTTATCATTTTGTAGTAGAGTTATTTATTTAAGAATATTTTGTGCAATGTTGTGGATATGTTCTCAGAACTATACATGTCTATAAAAAATAAAGTAATATAAAATATATCTTTTTAATTTTATATTGCCCATTTGATTGGTTCATCTAGTGTTTCTTCGTGTTATAATGATGGCTGTATTAAAACCAATATAAAATTTCAATATGGCAAGGTATGCCTACAAAGTCATTGAACTCCAGTTACTGGTATTGGAAAACTGGTCAGAAAATAAAGTTTGTTTGTTTGTTGGTGTTTAATATAGAAATGAGAAGATGTGGTCTGATTGACAATGAGACAACTCTCCACAAGAGACCAATTGACATAGAAATTAACAACTATAGGTCACCACATGGCCTCCAACAATGAGCAAAACCATACCGCATAGTCAGCTACAAAAGGCGACTTTCAGTTACATTAGTTACATCATGAGGTTTATTTTGTTTGGTTGAGAAAGCCAGGGTACCCTAAGACAATCACCCTACTTCAGTAGGCAGGCTAATGATAAAGTTTTAGTGAGATTAAAGGAATTGTAAACATGCACACATGCTGAAACCTGTCGTCTGCTTTACCGGTCATGATTGAATTTATGTTATTTGAGAAACAGCCCTAACAATGAAAACTAAACATTAACCAATGAACCATGAAAGTGAGGTCAAGGTCAGATGAACCCTGCCAGACAGACATAAACACCTTGCTATCATTCCATACACCAAATATGGTTTACCTATTGCTTATATTATCTAAGAAAAGAACTTAACAATCAAGCTAAACATTGCCCAATTAACCATGAAAATGAAGTCCAGGCCAGGAGAACACTGCCATACAGACAGACAAGTACACTTTGCAATCATTCCATATAACAAATATAGTTGACCTATTGGTTATAGTATCATAGAAACAGGCTAAACCACACAAACTTGAGATTGACCAATGAATCATGAGAATGAGGTCACAGTACTTTAAAACCTGTCAGACTGACATTTATATCTTACTTATAACTATCATTCCATACACCAAATACAGTTGACAATTGCTTACAGTATCAGAGGTATGGACTTGACCACAAAAACTTAACCTTGATCACTGAACTGAAATAAGATTAGGTCAGGTGAACCCTGCCCGAAAGAAATGCAGACCTTGCAAGGATCCAATATATCAAAAACAGTTCTCTTAAAACTTGTATAACAAGTAAAAAATGCATGTGATACAAAACTAGATTTTTTTAAGCAGTAGCTGAACATCAAAATGATGTCAAGGACAAATGACATACTTCAGAACACGAGGCATCTGTATACAAGGTATGAGGAATCCAGGTCTTCCACCTTCTGAACTATAAATAGAGAATATTATATGGCTTTATCAAATATCACATCCGTATGAAAAAGCCATATTATATACACTTTATTTTATATCTCAAGTAGATAAAATTAGGATTTTCAGAGTTATTTTCCTAATGCTTGTAGTTCAAAAGTTTGGTTGGCTTGCTTACTTTGTTTGTATAAATGTTTGCTCAAGCATTGTATTCAAGATTGACATCTGCAATCAATAGATAGGAGGTGCTTCAGCTTGTATACATTATACATGTACTTATAAATGTTATTGGATATTCAGTATAATGTATACAAGCTGAAGCCATGCCTATCTATAATTGATTGCAGATGTCAATCTTAATAACAATGGTTGAGCAAACATGTATACAAACAAAGCAGGCAAGCCAACCAAACTTTTAAACTACAAGCATTAGGAAAATAACTCTAAAAATCCTAATTTTATCTTTTTCTCTTTCACTGCATGAATGATCTGAATTAAACTTATCATAAATAATGCATGTTTGATAATATAGATAGTTTGACAAACACATGCAAGATAATTCATGAAAATATTTCATTTTGTTCTGATGCAACAAGAAAAATGGCTACCAGAGAAAATTAATGATTCAACTTGATCAATTTTGAAAACTACCAGTATGTTGCCAAATGTTTTAAAACCTGATGTTAGGTATGTTTATTTGGAGATCTTTACAAAGATTCCTCATTTCGTGCTGATTAAATGGCAAATGTGACAGTAATGGTGCAATCAGTTGAAAACAGGACACTCCCAACATAGCCAGACAAATTCCTTATCCTGATTTAAAAATGCAAGGAAAAAATCCTGAAAAATCCTGTAAGGATATGGAAAAATTACAGATGAACTTGAGAAGATTGAATAGGTATGAAAGGTGAGAGAATGGTCATGAACATTGATACAGAATCGTTATTGGCTGTAGTTTATACATGTAGTAAGGTTTTCAATCAATGAAAAGGCAACTTTCCAAACCAGATCTGTCAATCTGTGAAGGTTTATAGTGATTTGTTGCTTGGTCGAATAGGTATGAAAGGTAGGAGAATGGATACAGACTAGACAAAAGTTTTAACTATATCCTTTGTCTGTAATCAGGTAGTCTGTTGTTTCCGGCTGTCTTCATACTGGAGTATATTAAATATAATTATTTCTACCACAAAAGGAGAAGGGAATTGGTTTGAAAATGTCTTGTTTAGGTAAAAATTAGTAAAGGGTTTATGCATAATTCTGTGTTTTGCCTGCAATTGCTGCTATCAGTGTAAAAATGATGTTGAATGCCAAAAAATATAATATTGATTTTTTAATGAAATATGGAAAACATTAAATAAATTGAAAACATTTTTGGTTTAGATGCTATTTTTTTTTTATCTTGAAAGAAGTTTCTGCAATATATAGATTATGTCTTAAAATTCTAAGAAGATTTGACAATGTAATCAAGTAATCAAATTGTTTAATCCCTGACTGTATGTATCTAAATGTTAATTGCAAAAACTGCCCACTCTTCAGTTAAACACTAAAAATTGAAAAAAAATTTGCTTCAGGCTTTATCTCTTAATCATAAGAATGCTTGTGCCAAAGGTTCCCCAATATATAGACCTTTTTTCAAGTTGATGAATACACATGTGAGAAAGTGTTATAGAACTATTTTGTCAAACTTTTCTAATACATTGTAATGTGTTGACTTTTACACCCAAAAATAGTAATTTGATAAAAGTTGACAAAATCTGTGTGTAATATTTTAGTAAATGAGAAGTCTTTGCCCATTCAATTAGTCATGACCCAGACTCTTAGTAGTTGGGGAAAATCATACTGCGTAAGATAAAGTTTTCTCAAAATTCTTGTAACCTGCAATTTTTTTTAAATTCTCTAAATATCTTGAAAATAAAGGAATTACCTGGGATCATGTCTTCATGAAACACCCAAGTAAAGTTATTTGAAAAATTGTAGAACTTGAGGTGTGTAGTATATAAATTATGTGACTTTAACCGTAAGAACATATATCACCCCTTCTGGTGGAATTGCACAATCACACAAAGTAATTAATTAACTGCATATACAAATAGGCAAGCTCATATCAAACTAGATGTACTGCAAGCAAAGCTCAAAAACGATACCAAACCCCACATAAATCAATGGCAAAGAATGATTTGCTTCAGGAAACTAACCCTAAAATAATTATTATCAAAAAATAAAATAGGCTGTGCACAAAAGCATTGTATAGTTAAAAATGTGAGAAAGTTTCAATTACTTCTAAAAAGAGGTTTTTGAAGTTGCCAGTGGTGGCTCTAGGGAAAAGAGGCATAGAGGGTGTACCCACCTTTTTGATTGCCAAAAAAATAAATAAAATACAATGGTCATCATGATTTAACTGATTTTTTTTTTACCATGAAATCATCTAAAATATTTTGTACAGTGTTCTAAAGTGTGCAGATACATGTATGACAAAGTCTATGTCATGCCAAAGAAAACCCCCAAAAATTTTTCAGAACATGATTCTATGAGTTTCATGCAATTCTGTCAATTGGTTCAGAAGCAATAGCACATACAAAATTGGGAATGAACAATGAACTGACAGATACCCTTCAATACTACTGTATCACTATATACCATGGTATAAATCAATCATGCCTAAAACTTACAAGGGTAAAAATCAGAATGGGTCAAGAGGAGATTACAATTTGAATGTAGTAAGTGAAGTGTATAAGACAACACACCAATGATGAGAACGTTGATACGGTTAAACAAATAGTTGTCAGTCATATCCATACTATATACTGTTATACAAAGCTACCAGGTTTTAGAAAATATGTATCTGATAGGGAATAAAATAGATGAGGAATACAGTGGGAAATCTAGTGACAAAATATTACCTCCCCTGTAAACACTGAAAACTAGATCTTCTCAATGTTTGTCTCATTTTAGCAAGGTCGCTATCAATTATGGATTCATGGAATAACGTTCTGGTAAATGGTAAAAATAGAATTAAATTGAAATAAAAACAAAACTCAATGTTATCATTTTCCTCCTTAAGTAGCAAACGAAGAGTTCAGCAGGCTATAGATACTTGGAGTAAAATTGGTTTAAAATGTTGCTATGCGAATAAATTCCTGGAGTACCAACTTCAATTAAATTTTTTTACTGTCTGTATACCTTTCTGGAACATGCTAATTATTCGTATATATATACAGCTAGATAAGAGAAAGTCAGGGAAAAAATTCCAAACAAATCGATTGATATGCAGCAAAGATCGGCACTTTTGAAATTAAGTTACTAAGCAAAATCAAACAGACCTTATCTCGATGTATTAAACATTGAATGTGAATAGATCGAGAAGACCGCAAATACTTGTACAAAACTCTTTTCTTAAAATTGTATACAAAATAGTAGAAAGATACCTACTCTATAAAAATAGTTATCTTTAATTGTTTAACCTGTACAGACAGTCTTTTAGATGTTTATATTCACGAAAAGACAATAGTTCTCTATTGAATGTACATGTGACAAGAGCAGACCGGTGTGCTCGATAACTTAGGTGTGAAAAAATAAGCATACTTTGGGAAATTGTAACATGCTAAGGACTTTTTGGAACACTTTGAAAATTTTTGACTTGAAAGATTTTTCGATTTTGTATGTACATGATTTTTTCCAATTTTTTTTATCAATATGCAGCAAAGATTGGCAGTTTTTAAATTTCATTTTCACAAGCTTCTAACAATTATATCAATAA